CACGTCTTCGATCATGTAGTGGGCGATATTTGCAAATAATTTACGGTTTAGTGATGAAACCCTCTAGCGCTTCGCCCCACTCATCATCATTCACTCCGTAGTCATGGTGTAACTTTTTAACAAAGGGAATAATCAATTAATCCTAATCAACTATCTAGTTCTGTTTTATCCTTCGTGAGCAAAATGACTGAGAAACTGTTTGCCAGTAACCTGAATAGTTACCGAAAAATTATTCTCTAATGACTGTGAATTCGGTTGCCATTGAGGTTGTTCAACTGGCTTTGAGGTGATTTCACTAACAGACTACAATAAGCATACATTGCTATAGGACCATTTGTTGCTTCCCTATTGATAGGCTTTACAAGGGCTTTCGCAATATTTCTTAAACGTATTTTAAGGGCGCCTCTAAGGAGGTCACTTGCTCAAGAAGGCCTTCCCTAATAGACAATGAGCGCATTGTAGCGTGGTTAAGGCGTATACGTGTTCTCTCGCGCTTTTTTCAGCTTGCAGAGATATTAAATTCGAAGCATTTTTTACCGAACTTAGGTGACTTTGAGCGTATCTATCTATCTATCTATCTATCTATCTATCTATCTATCTATCTATCTATCTATCTATCTATCTATCTATCGATCTATCTATCGATCTATCTATCGATCTATCTATCTATCGATCTATCTATCTATCTATCTATCTATCTATCTATCTATCTATCTATCTATCTATCTATCTATCTATCTATCTATCTATCTATCTATCTATCTATCTATCTATCTATCTATCTATCTATCTATCTATCTATCTATCTATCTATCTATCTATCTATCTATCTATCTATCTATCTATCTATCTATCTATCTATCTATCTATCTATCTATCTATCTATCTATCTATCTATCTATCTATCTATCTATCTATCTATCTATCTATCTATCTATCTATCTATCTATCTATCTATCTATCTATCTATCTATCTATCTATCTATCTATCTATCTATCTATCTATCTATCTATCTATCTATCTATCTATCTATCTATCTATCTATCTATCTATCTAACTAGCTAGCCGCTTACCTTTGTGTGCTCTCCTGGTCACCAATGTGCCACATGTATGCGGGTATGTGCCATTGGTGATTGACCCTTAGTATCTACCCAGGAACGACGAGAACACACAAGGGGAATTTTAGCGCGCGAGCGTTAAAAATACCCTTCATCGGTAGCGCCGACCCAACGAATGCAAAGAATAATTGTCAGGGTCCCGCCTGTAATCTAAACCAAAAATTTTCTTTGGCAATGAAACATTTTACCACAGAGCTACCCCCAAGCCTCTGAACTACTAAGTCAATAGTGGTGGCAGGGCTGCCAACTGTAGTGCTGCGGTCTTACCAGCTCTACCGGAAATCGTCATCCTGTGTGGAGCTACATTCCAAGGCAGCTTCAGCTACAGTGGTGGTGTGGCGAGTCTGTTGAGCCCAGGGACCTAAAACCCTTTAGATACACCTGACTACTCGCAAGGACGATTACAGCCTGACCTTCCCCCTTCCCTGTGTTCTACACCGTACAATGGGCTTTGCATCAGGACCTGTTCCACGAGAGCGCTTTCTATATTCATGGGCCAGCGCCGTTTCTTGTGCATTGTTTTGGGAGCCTGCGAGGAGCTAGCAGCTCCGGATGAGTCAACCTGGAATCTTGCTCACCGAAGGGTTCTACGCGACGAGTTCCAGGTCATGGAACTGAGCCAGTGGCGCCGTATACTCTTCCTTGTGCAACAAGGTGTGCGTGCCCTTGAACTTTTCCAGAAACAAGCATGACTACCTGCTATGGGGTGGAGTGGAAGAGGACGATTCTAATAGAGGAACATGAACTAGATTGTCTTCTCTCGCAGGGAATCTTGGGAAAACAGAGTGTGTAAACACGAGCGCAGAAATGCTCGAGTGTGCTCCATCTGTTTCATGTTCCACGCAACTCTAAACATGTAAATAATGTACATTAGCACTTCTTTTTATCTACTGCGGCTTCTCGACTCGTCTTCTCCTGAGACTCGGATGGCTCCAGCCAGAACCATGCTACCTAAGATCGCCACAGTCACGGACGTGGTGGCATGTCCCGACACCTAATTCCTAACACTACCCAATTCTATAAACATTACGTATGTACTCCTTTGATACAGCCGTGACGCGGGGTTAACATCAATTGTGGTTAGTAGTCATGCGCTGTAGTTGATTTATGCAGCAGCGTCCAGGGCCAGCATCCTCGCGAGCATCAACGCTTCATATCAGCTTCTGGAGTTGCTAATTATAAGACACATGTTCAGGCGTATTAGCAACAGGCGTATACAACAGGCGTATACGCAAGTGCAAGCAACTGGTTATATAAAGATCTGCAACTCTTCAACATATGCCTATGCGTGCAACATTCGTACGTACATTTGGCGTCATTTCATGATGTGTAACTCAATAACGATAGTCACAGCTTTGCCGCAAAGGCGAAGCAATGAACGTGATAGCTACAAATTGGAAGGTCATGCGCAGAATGGAAAGCAGATCGAAACATTCCCCACGTTTCTCACGCACGAATTACGGATAAACGTACTCACAGGTAGAGATTCACGCGAAATAACGTCTCAGTTTTTTTTTTGCTGTGTCTGAAAAGCGCGCGTGTTTTCGTAAACGGAGACTGCAATGATTGCCGTGACATTTGGGCACCCTGTAACTAGGACAGAATCGTTCCAAGTAAAGCGCGACGTCAGCCAGGACGTACGATCCTCCCCTACTCCCCACCGCGAGATAATGACGCGCGAGGCAGCGTCACGCCCCTCTTCTAAGCGGGGCAAAGTACGCATGGGAGATTAGAGCACGCGCCGCCGCGCGATTTGGTGACAGCGCGCTGTTTGCGCCATCTTGCTGTAATGCTGAAAATACGATAATTCCTTCCGAGATGCCCGTGAGCCCGCGTAGATGGCAAATATAAATAGCTTGCCTTTGAAGGGGCGAGATCGTGCTTTTCGGTGACCCAGTGGGTAACGCCTCGCACTCACTATTGAGAGGACCCATTCCGCGTGCTGTAGTACTTTCCTGTTTTTTTTTTCTTTCTGGCATTTTGATATATATAGATGCGTATAAATATACGGTGAGTGACGACGTCGTCGACGACGACGCCTGCGGTACAATCCACGCGAGAGTGTTCACATAATTCGGGTCGCCATAAAATTGCAACACAGTCACCTTTTCTTTGCACGCTTCGCATGAAGTCGATTTCCAGGTACGTGGGCTTTGCCGAATTTTTTAAGGTGCTGACACTTGGAAACTTCCCTGGTCGCATAAGTAAGTTAAAAATTAGGGCAACTTTACGATGCCGCACAACTGAAGAGCAAAAAATCACAGCATACCCACGGAGTGATCGATGATGAGGGGGTGGAAGCACCGGTCAGTTCATCTGCGCTTCCGTGCGTCCGTACATTCTTGCTTCTATCCGTCCGTCCGAGCGTCCGTCCCTGCTTTCGACAATCTGTCCATGCGTACGTCCATGCGTATGTCCGTCCGTCTACGCGTCCATCCCTCTGTACATCCATGCGTCCGTCCGTCAGCCCGTGTGTGAATCCATCTCTGTGTTCGTCCGTGCGTCTGTCCGTCCATGCGCCCCTCCGTTGTTCATTCGTCAAGGCGGCAAATCGACCCACAGACGACGGACAGACGCGGCCAGCAGATGATTCGTGGTTTGCCAATAAAACCCTCTGAAGCTTCGTCTCCCTCGTCATCATTCACTTCGGGTGCACGTTAATGAACCCCAGGTGGTCTAAATTTCCGGAGCCCTCCACTACGGCGTCTCTCATAATCATATAGTGGTTTTGGGACATTAAACCCCATATATCAATCAATCAATAATTATTCACTTCGTTGATATGCTGTGAGGTGGTTACTGCATACATGCATGTATACAGATTACGACCAACCCACGCATTAAGCAAATTTGTCCATAAAAATTTTTGTGTATCCACAGAACGGGCTGGCAGGCTCTACGTGCTGAACATGAGCTTTAGTCATGCAGCATAGAGCCTCAAGTACGCGAACTCGTGCACGCACACGAAACTATACATCTGTCTAATGAGTGCAACCGACCGGAGGGGCTCGCGACACCGTGTGCGAAACGCCTTCACGCGCGCTGTTCTCGCGTAGGATTCCAGACGTACAGTATAGGCCGTTTCATGGTTGCAAGCATTGTACCCCAAAAAAACGTCCGGTCACCTAATTTACCAGCTCCTAATATCGGAACTCAAAGCACGTTTTCGAGTTTTTTTCAAGGGTAAGGAAAGTCTCTCTTTCGTTTTTTACACAAAAGGATCATTCATAAAGTACAAAGAAATGCTTAACTATCATGTAGTTGAAAACAACATTCATTTGAATAGACTTCGCCAAATAAGGGAAGAAAGGTGCGAAAATCTGCTGGATATTTTCTGAAGTTCTTGTTGTCTACCGATGCTTTTAAGGCACATATGTTGACAAAACCGGATGTCATCAAGGTTTTGTGTTTGTGGATAGTGAAAGGGTGTATACAAAATGTATTTCTCGCATTCACAAACCTTACCTAGACGCATTTTATTGAGTTGGATAGAAGTGGAATAAAAATGTCTGGCGGAAGCATGGCTGTGCGATAACATAGATACATTCGCTGAGAAGGGCGTCATGCCAGCTACGTAGCAATGCACGCACGGCCAATTCACTTCACCGCTATTCAACACAGCCACATTTGCGCATTGGCTCTACAGGTCTATAGAACGAACAATTTTGTCCGATTCCACCAATGTTTTTTTTTCAACTTGAAGTTGAAATGCTGAGCGTGATTAAACAATATGTGTATGCTACCCATCGGAAATATGTTGCGAAAAAAGCCTAATATTTTGGGTAATTCACCAGAGCATAAGTTCTCAGACATAATACGCACACTTGTTGCATATTGGTTTTGTCGTATTTTCGTAAGAAATCCCTGTGATACTTGCGCAGTTGCTGAACTTGACCGGGGCAGGCATATCCTTAAGCCTGGTTGCCATGCACATGCGCCTGGACCACAAGGCGCTGCTGTCGGTAACAGGAAATGAGACGCGCTTCGTTACCATCGTGAGGAGGCCGGTGGACCTGTTTCGCTCGTTGTATGACTACTACGCGCTACAGCGCCACTTCGGCGACGAGCCACTCGAGCAGTTTGTCTTCAACGAAGAGCATGTTCGTGCCCTTCAAACGACGCGTTTCGCTGGAAACCTCGGCTTCAATCAAATGGCCTTTGACCTAGGCATGGACCCGGAAGATTTTGAAAACGAAGAAAAGGTAATCTTGTACTCGCTTGCTTGAAGTACACGCAGACTGCGCTCACATTATGTGACTGTGGCCTCTAACTCCTGCATGGGAGAAACTACGACGATAGCGTGAATGTACTGCATTTATGAAAACAGAAACGTGGCTGATTCCTCTATATAGAAATAAAAATGAAACGAAAATGAAACGTGTCTTACAGAGGTAGTTAGCGTTTATTGTACATAGTTTCAGGAACAGCAAGAAATTTTCAATTTACGTTAGGAACTGCAAGTAGCTCGTAAGTTGCAGCGCACACCTCAAGCACGTAAGAACTTAGCACATGCACGTGAACACGGGTTAACTGTCACAGCTCAACAATTAAAGCGCACTGTTCAAACAGAAAGAAATACGCACAAAACGAGCGCATAAGTATACACCGCACAAGCGCGAACAACTGTCACAATTCTTGGTTCGTCTTGTGTCAACAGCACACTCCTGTCGTAAACGCAGCCTTGGCAGCATGCTAATTGACCTTCGTCTTCTCCCAAGTAACGAGTCTGATTATAGTGCGCGCAGGAGAGACCACCTTTTTTGAGGGGGTGCTTCGTGAAAACGATGACCTTTAGAGTGCGGAAAACGTGGCTTGATCCACTCGTTCGCCTCCGATTCGTTCAGAGTGGAGACAAGTGCGTCGTCCTCTACAGCGGTCGCAGTTATTTGGCTCACTCGTCCATGCGCGCGCTGCAAGGGCGAGGGTTCGCGGCGTTTTGCTATCGAGTAAAGGTGCCTTGTGCTGAGATTGCTTTCACAAATGCAAAATTACGCACGATTCTTGCTAGTTATGAGTTTGTAGGCACGCATCTCAGCAAAAAACGAATGCGTCTTGCATGAAAGAGTTGCAGACCGCATCGATCCTGATTGGCGGCGCGGGTGCTCGGATGCTGGCTGCGGACACACAGTATTTAGATGCGCTCTATAAATGTCCTGTCATTTTTATACGAGCGTGCAACGCATCTAGTGAAGCAAACTAATTAGGAAAACAAAAAAATCACAGCATATCCACAGAAAGAATGATGATGAGTGAGGCGAATAGTCCGTCTATTCATCCGTCCGCGCGTGTGCCTGCCTGCCTGCCTGCCTGCCTGCCTGCCTGCCTGCCTGCCTGCCTGCCTGTCTCTCTCTCTGTCTGTCTGTCCGTCCGTCTGTCTGTCTGTCTGTCTGTCTGTCTGTCTGTCTGTCTGTCTGTCTGTCTGTCTGTCTGTCTGTCTGTCTGTCTGTCTGTGCGCTGTGCAGGCTACGGCGGAGAGACTTGGGAAGGCCCTAGATTATAAGAAGCTCCACCTTTAAAAAGTGAAGACAGCACCGGTAGTTGCGATGATTCAATTAGATATGTAACGCTAAAAAATTAAAATGAAATATATTGGAGCATGACATTTGTGTCCTATTCTAAATCCCAGGCTCACTCAGGCAGGTTCTGATTTCATACCTCCCAACTCTACTACTAGCTAACAGATGCACATGCACCAATAAAACTTAAACCCATTTAAAGTCAGCTCACGCATAACTATGCATATGGAAATTAGAATTTTTACAGCTGTAGGCAGGCGATCGTGTGGTCGTATTACCGTATCAGGTCATTTTCAAGCAATCCCAGAACCCCACGCGGGTACGCGGAACACCATGGAAAACGTCTGTACGCTGAGTACGCTGGCTGTTCCATCGCCCTCTCCTCGATGGTACCGTGGAAGCTAATGAAAAAAAAAACAACTAATAAAAAATGTCGCCTCTTTTGACTACGAATAAGTCCTAAGTACTAGACATGTCTGAACTCACTTCTCTGTATATCTACGCATGAAATGCGAAAGGAATCGGCGTATATTAGTGCATATATTGGGTAAGTGTATATAAAAAAACTGAGGAGATATAGACGGCATGTAGCAGTTAAACAGTTAGCAGTTAGGAGTTATCGCGGTGGATGATTCTTCCGTTTCTGATAATTCCGCCCAAGTTGGCGCGTTCTTGTCGGAGCGCTATTCCTCGCGCGCGCCCGAGGTGAGCTTTGCGCATTTGCGGCTGACAGCCATGACTGCCTGTCGCTGATCATTGGTGTCGCTGATCACTGGTGTCGCTGACGCATCTTGCAGTTTCTGCTGCTTCGGGTGCAAGTCAGTATTCAGTTTTTTGTTGTCCTGAGGCCGGTACCGAAGTACAGGCAGGCCTATCTCTGGGTAGCCCTTAGAACGGCTGCATGCTCGAGGGACGCGTAGCGGGCATCAAAAACCAACGCATGGAAGGAACGAAAAAAATGCAAACGCCCCAATTGAAAGCTGAACTCGTCGTTGCTTCAACCCTTCCTGCAAACCATACTATCATGCCGAGAATTTAGCCGGTGGAATTGCGACCACATTGAGGCCATTAGGACTCTCACCCATGAGTTCAACAGAACTCCCGTTTTTTTGTTCCATGGCTATGTGCCCAGGCGAGTGTTTCGTGCACTCTTGTCTTATAAAACGCATCCTCGGCTCATCATATTTGTCGGCGTATATTTTTTCCTGGCCTTCCCGGCGGAATTTTCGGACGGTTGCGGCTCTCGCGGTGGTTCGGACGCGCGCATTGCGTGGCGGAGCGAATCTGTACAACTTTATTAGTGTCATCGTAAAGATAGACAGTTACGGGAGGTGCTCTCCCTCCTCATAACCACTTTGAAAGAAAAAGAAAGTTATCGCGGGCCAGTATATGTAGTCTAAACCTACTATCGGTAGCAATGTAAGCATGAACCCTGAATTCTCTATTTGTAGTTCTCGCTGCGTAAGAAAACACATCTCGGAAAAATCTTTGCAGGTAAATATAGGCGAGAAAATTTTAAAATGAAATTTTTTAGATTAAAACAAAACAAAAGGAGATGTCCGCGACAGCGAAAGTTCTATTTCCAAGCAAACCCAGAAAAGAACGCCAAAATCATGAGAATGGTTCAAACGCCATGAAACCATTTTTTCTTACCAGCCCGCTCAACGTTTATTTGGGTTAAGGCACAGCAGGCACGTGCACAGAAAAAAAAGCAAACCACGCACCTAACTTGTAATAGTCTAATCTGTGACTGTGTTACTAGTATTGTGCACACCGTTTCGAAAGCTGTCCCCAAACTTCCGACGTAGCAAAGGAAAGGTGATAGGAAAAGCAAAGTGCAAGATTCACGCTGCGTACATGAGAGGCATTCGTCAGCTCCCACGTGTCCCTCTTTATTCTCACTGTCAATAAAATATTTTTTAGGATCGTTTGGAAAAGAAAACGCATTGTATTTCTTTCTAGAATGGTTTGTTTCCCGTGTGGCACGCAGCATGCAGTCACCTTGCGGGACTTGCCACGAATTAGACCGCCAACTAGGTAGCTGGTGGCGCATACATGTTTAAACGAGCGTGGCGTAGAATAAAACACGGTGGTCGCGCGCGGTGAGGTGGAGTCGACCATAGAGTTAATATGGTGTCGAAAATTTAAAGCATCACCGTACTCTGAACGGGGGCGCACGCATCGAGGCACTCTAGCCAACGCTAGAATTACTGTACATACTCCCTACAGGAGCAGAGTTGTGGATATCTTTGCCTAATGTTCGACTGCTGTGCAGTGAGTACACTCGTCATGCGCGCAGGAGACAGACACTACGCGATGTTCCGGCACGGGCAACGTGCCGCTGGCTGATTCGAACGTGCTGAGTGAGATTGCACGCTTTCAGTGAAGATAAAATTGCTATAGGTTCTAACAAGTTACGTCTGCGAACAAAACGACGTGGTGAACAGCAGTTTTGCAGCGGCAGGCAGATGCCACCGCGAGAGCATCATGAGAATGGCGTGTAGTCATGTTATTACATGACACGCATGCCATGATTATCATGTTTGCACCAGTCACATACCTTCATCATGCATTCCCGTCACCTACTACCAAGTTTGGTATATGTGAAGGTAGTGAAACGAGCGCGAGCGCATCATGAGCGTTGCAAGTAGTCCTGTTTCACATGATACGCATGTCATGATTGTCATGTTTGCACCAGTACAATGCCTTCGTCATCCATTCACGTCACGTAATAACAATTGCGTTATATGTGAAGCTAGTGAAACGACCACGAGCATACTATGAGCGTGGCATGTAGTTATGACTTACATGACACACATGTCATGATTTCTACGTTTGAGCTTGTCACTTATGTTCGCCATGCAGTGGTGTCATACCATACCAGTTTCAAAGTACGTCAGGTGAACAAAACCACTGCAAGAGCAGCAAGACCATGACTGTAAATCATGACATTCATGGCATACTTGTCATGATTTTTATGTTATGACTAGTCACTTGTGCTCGTCATACACTCATGCTATGCCATACAAATTTAGGTTATATAGATCTCGTTAGCGAAACAGCCAGGAGAGATAATAAATGTCGTAAACAGATAGATAGATAGATAGATAGATAGATAGATTGATAGATAGATAGATAGATAGATAGATAGATATATAGATAGATAGATAGATAGATAGATAGATTGATAGATAGATAGATAGATTGATAGATAGATAGATTGATAGATAGATAGACAGATAGATAGATAGATAGATAGATAGATAGATAGATAGATAGATAGATAGATAGATAAAAAGTTACCGAAGTTTGCTAAGAAATCCTTCGTATTTAAAATGGGTGACGAATAGTCCAGAAATCCCACAGTGTTATCCCATCCACAACCATCTAATAACACCACAAACTCTCGTTTGTTGGTAACAGGGTGTAACAATCTCGCTGTAAATAAGATGGCTAGTACTGCACACAGAAGAAAAAGAAGAAAATAAGTAGTTTCCTTAAAACATTGAAAAGAAAATCGGGCACTGTCAATTTCTTGGAACGAAACAGCTAGACATGATAACAAACGATGAGGCACACTTCCAGCTGTTATTACCAGCTTGTTTACCTACAATATTCTTAAGATCGCAGAACGTTGAGTATATGTTAGATCAGATTAACCTAGTTACATTCATAGCAGACACCAC